GGCCAAGCTTCCACCCTCAGGAATTCAAAATTCGTTAGAACGGAACAGTCAATTGGGGTTCCCAATTTAAAAGGAGTTAATTAAATCATCAATCACTAATATTTATTCTCGATTACTACTTGTTCACTCACTTTTAAAAAGTTACTGACTGCTTACCACTTTTTAAAAAAATTATCCATCCATCACTCATTTCATCTCCATCCTTCCAACTAAGCAAATGTGTCTACGTGGCAGATGGATTTCTTACGACTAACATCGTTAAAATTTGACAGGTTGAATTTATCCATTTCATTAAAAATGCTTTCTTCTCAAAAATTCAAGAATCCTTTCCTTAACCTTAGCAAGTCTGATTTTTCTTTCCCAATCCTCTCTGAAAATTGGGTAATTAGCACAAAACATCCCTACCTTTCATTGTTTTTGTGGAAAACGTTCCTACTTTTCGTTTTTTGGTGGATTACACCCTCACCTTTACCATTTTTTGTGCAAAATGTCCTTCTGTCAACTCTCTGTTAAAATGCTCCATTAAATCAAAAGGTAATTAGCACAAAAGGTCCCTACCTTTCAATATTATTGTGCAAAACGTCCTTACCTTTCATTTTTAGCATAATTAGCACAAAATGTTCCTACCTTTCAATGTTATTGTGTAAAACGTCTCTACCTTTCATTTTTAGCATTTTCACCCTTACCTTTCATTGCGCAAAAGGTCATTTTTATTCATTTTTTCAATAAATGACGATTTCATCCTCATATTCAAATAAAACAAAAAGGAAAGAAAAGAAGAATAAATAATTAATTGCAATCATAGTCTTAAATCTTTCAAAATATTACAGATAAATCCTAAATTCTCCATTACCGCCACTTTCATAACCCCACTAAGCTACCACCTATAGATCCATATAGCACCACCTTTCGACCACAACACCTATCGAACTCCACTACCACCAGCCTCGCCTCACTTTCCCTAATATTCTCCTCCATAGTATTGGTCACCAATCTGTCTGAAACAACCACATTTACGGTCGTGGAGTTCGGTGGGCATGGTGGAAGAAAGGTGGTGTTATGCTGATTTATAGTTGGCAGCTTGATAGATTGTGAAAGTGGTGGTGGCTGGAATTTTATTGAAAAAATGGATGAGAAGGACATTTTTCGCAATGGAAGGTGAAAGGCAGGGATGAAAATGCTAAAAAATGAAAAGTAGGGATGTTTTGCACAATAACTTTGAAAGGTAGGGACATTTTGTGCTACTTATGTCAAAAAATGAAAGATAGGGACATTTTGTATAATAATATTGAAGTGTAGGGACTTTTTATGCTAATTATCTTTTGATTTAATGGAACATTTAAATGGAGAATTGACAGAATGACGTTTTGCCCAAAAAAAGGTAAATGTGATGGTGTAATTCGTAAAAAAATGAAGGATAGAGACTTTTTCCCCAAAAACATAAAATAAATGAAGACGTTTTGTGCTAGTTAAGCCTGCAAATTTTCCAGTCAGAACAACCTAGGATTTGCCTGAAGGAAATGTTGGTTCCTGTCTTTAACATCCCAAATTAAAATTCTCGCAGTTCACCTCGCCAATACAGAAATCTTGAATCAAGTCAATTTTTTCTCAAGAACTTTAGATGGGATTTAGATTCTTGATCAATTTCAATCCAATTCAAAAAGTCTCCAAAATCTCATCGTCCTACTCTTACAATTTTCAAGAATTTAAACAATCCAACTGCTGCAATTCTTGCTCTCAATTCTGAGTTATGTGGGAATTCTAAAGACAACCCGAATTTCAAGGTTCACAAACGGAGTTCATTTGGGGTTTTTAAACCTATTTCTTCAATTGGGATTTGGTCGGGATTTGGTCAGAAGCAGAGCATTCCTCATTGGAATTGGCACCTGCCCTTGATATTTTTCTCCATTTCTTATCAACCATGCTTAAGAAAGGGTTGATTCAAATCCTAATTTCCAGCTATAGTTGGTGCAAATCCTAAGAAGTGAAGACTATGGCATAAATTTATGTCTTTTAGTAGGTAGGATGTTGTTTGTGATTGGAATTGTAGGAAAAAGTACTATGTTTTGTGTTTTGAATGTGTAGTCTGTAGTTCATTATTGGTGTTTGGTAGTTGTTGGTGATGTCGTTAAGTTGATGGTGTTGTGCAAGTGTTGATGGTTGTGGAATGATCAAAGGAAACCGTATGTTTTGCAGTGTTTAATTAAATGGTTCCTGTTCTTGTTTAATTAATAAGTTGGCGTTGATATATTGCAGTGTTTAATTAATGTTTGCATATAGTTAAAAACATGATCAGCATTAGTGGAAATGATTTTGTTGAAACTTAGGCACCAGATGCTGTGAATTATACAAATCATTTGCATTTCTCAAAATTGCATAACACCAGAAGTCCAAAATGCCATGGTAATCTGCTGTCACAAAAACTTCAGCCAATTGTATATCTCCAGAACTTTGTACACCAAGCATTCCAAATTTCCAATTCACTCACCTATACACCAAAATATAAAATTTCATTCAACCATATACTAAGCATGCCATGCCATGCAATGCCTCCAGCAGCAGCTAAAAGCATAGTAGACATTCCAAGAGCTCCTAATAGCTCAAATTTACGATGTCCTGAAAAACAAAGAGCAATAGGCACTGTAAGAGACGGTAATAACATGAACCATACGAAAAATTTAAATATGTCCATGAACATAGGGAAAAAATGAAACAGTGACTAATGATATATGTCTAGATAGCATCTCGGAATGAATTGGGATTAGAAATTAGAAATAGGAGGAAACTGAGAATAAGTGACCATTGACCGTAGCCATGAATCAGGAAATTCCAAGCACAATGGTCGAAATTATAGAAAGGGTGAACAAAATTTTCCTAACAAGATCAAAGTTCAATCATTTCTTGAGAAGAAAACACATATCTAACAAGAATAACTATGTCAACCTCACACTTGATTTCACTAATATTCTTCAATTAACACTACAAGAATCCATCTTTTTCCTACACACATTTTCCAGAAGTTTGTCAAATGAACTACCTTTAGCATATAAATCAGCAATAATAGCAGTGCTACTAGAAAGATAAACGGTCAAGGCTTTACCCGTGGCCAAGCCGACATTAGTAGCAAGGCCAAGTCAGGAAATCTTCTCCCCCTCCTTGCCGGAGCAGGGATGTTAAAGACAGGAACCAGCGTTTTCTTCAAGCAAATCCTAGGTTGATCTGACTGGAAAATTTTCAGGATGATTGGGAAAAATCAGACTTGCTAAGGTAGAGGATTCTTGAATTTTTGAGAAGAAAGTGTTATTAATTAAATGGGTAAATTCAACCTGTCAAATTTTAATGGTGTTAGTCGCCATGTAAGAAATCCGTCTGCCACATAGACACATTTGCTTAGTTGGATGGATGGAGATGAAATGAGTGATGGATGAGTAATTTTTTTCAAAAGTGGGTGAGCAAGTAGTAATCGAGAGTAAGTGGGTGAGCATAACTAGGAGTAAATGTTAGTGACTGATAATTTAATCAATAAGGCTTCTTGTACATTATTTGCTTGACATGGAGTTTGACACTCCATTGTTTTCAATGTTTTCAAAAATGGAATTGGTAGGAAAGTGTGTTTTTTTTTTCAAAAACTGTCCAATGTGTCGCCATATGGCACAATGTAAAATTTAATGTCAAACTCAATGTACTTGTAGCATGATTCTAATTTAATTAACTCAATAAAAGAAGACAAGAAAATTCCTAATTTCGTCCCCCTCTATGCTTTCATTTAATTGTGTAAATTTAACCAATGCTCATTGAACCTTAAACTTGTTACTACTTACTCACTCATCTTTCACGCGTTACTAAATACTCACTCATCTTTCCATATAGTTACCCATCCACCACTCATCTCTTCAAATAATTGGGTGTTTTTTGCGACAACTTATTGAAAACTTCCGACCACCAAGACTTTCGGATTTTGATACCATTGGAAAGCCCATGATGTCCTTTTCAATTACCACCCAAAATCTCCCCATAACTCCAAGGGATTCAACAGGAAAAATGTTGCAAAAATCGCCCAAAAAATCTAAAAATCTGTCCAGATTTTCAGATTTTTGGGCGACTTTTGCGGCAATTTTTCAACAACTTCCTACCACCAAAACTGCCGGATTTTGATACCGTTGGAAAGCCTACAATGTCCTCTTCAATTACCACCCAAAATTTCCCCATAACTCAAAAGGATTAGGTCAGAATAAACCCACAAAATCAATATCCCGAAAAGGCGAAAATCTGGATAGAGTTTGGGATGCTGACTTTGTGGGTTTATTCCGATCGAATCCTTTGGAATTATGGGGAAATTTTGGATGGTAATTGAAGAGAACATTGTGGACTTTCCAACGGTATCAAAATCTAGTAGTTTTGGTGGTCGGAAGTTGTCGGAAAATTGTCACAAAAGTCACCCAAAAACTAATTGGGCGATTTTTGCGACAACTTTCGACCACCAAGACCGTCGGATTTTGATACCATTGGAAAGCCCACGATATCCTTTTTAATTACCACCCAAAATCTCCCCATAACTCCAAGGAATTCGACCGAAAAATTGCCGCAAAAGTCGCCCAAAAAATCTGAAAATCTGGGCAGATTTAAAGTTTAAAGTTGAGTCAGCATTGGTTAAATTTACTCCATTTAATTCCACATCAAAAGCGCTCTCGCGGTTGATATCGCATCGAAATTTATCCCGAAGTCGGTTTTTATAATGTTCGGATTACAATAAGATTCGTTGTTTTATAGCGTTGCTGGTGCTGATGCATCGTCTTGCTCCAATAAGAAACAGATGGCCTCTTATTTATCGGAATTTGGAATTTCGAATAATTCTGTCATGATTTAGAAAAGAGGATTTTTGGGCTGTGGTAATGGCGAAGAGGGGAATATGTTATCCAAAGTATACGAGGAAAGAGGTCTTTTGGGGTAAGATTCTTTTAGTTATTTCCCATTTTTATTATCGTTTCTAAATAAATAAATTTTGCTATCTGCAACTTTCCATCCCTTCTCGTTTATCCTCTGAGATTTTAGTGTTAGACTTTATTGTTTGTTTTCTTGATGGCCGCATTTTGAATGTCTATTGAAGGTTTACACTTTTTGTATTTTCAAAATTTATCTCATAAATGATATGAATTATGTCAAGGAAAGCGTATTCTATATTTGTTTATGTGTAACGTTGGGCTCTTTTCTGTGGTTATAGCTACTGGGTTCAGAAAAATAAGTTATGGTAGCTGGAGGTTAACATTTCACCTTTGTTTTGATTTTGTTCTTTTCTTCTAATAAAACTTCCCTCCAAGTGCCTTGGGTATTTTTTTCCCCACCAATTCAACGCATAGACAACAGAGACTTCATTAACCTTATTTTATCAGATATTCACTCATAGTACTTAGTTTCGTTTTCTGATTTGCTAGATGAAAAATATTGTAGGCTTCTGAAGATCTAATGAAATTGGTGGTCTACCTAGATGATTGTGAGAACTAAGTACCGGAGCAGTACATAGATGGAAATGACGTACACATGAACAAGATTGAGTAACATGGTATATGGAAATCAATTCGTGGTGTTATCCTCTTTCATTGGATCCATATAAGAAGGTTTTTTTTTCCCTCGTGAACTATGAATTCTACTCATCCTTTTTTAAATCCTTGATATCAAAATGCAACTTTTGATGATTTTATAGTCATCTAGTACTACGTGAGCTGACTTGTTTTTGATTTATCAGATATTCTCCTGAGCAATTATATGCTGTCGTTGCTGCTGTTTACTTATATGATGATTTTCTTCCCTGGTGGCGCTCAGAGATCATTAGGCACCATCCAGATGGATCTTTGGATGCTGAACTAGAAATTGGTTTCAAATTTCTCATTGGAAGTTACGTGTTCCATGTGGAGTTGAACAAATCAAAATCTGTAAAGGTGGAAAATCACTTTCAGTATGAGGGCTTTCTTTTCCTAGTTTTCACTTCCAATACTTCTTGTCTTTATAATGTTCTCAGTCCATGCTAATTTATTAGGTTTGAAAAATTTGTAGATAATTTTTTCTTAGGGATCAGGTCTTGGTGGGCAGGGGCATTGTGGCTTAATTGTAACCACTGTAACTTCAAATAGAGTGGTCTATTCTTATTTGATTCTCTGATACTCAGAACTCAATAACTTCAAATGCAATTGTTAAGTGAAATCTCAAGTACTGCTTGAAGAAGAAAATTCAATAGCTGGAAACTGAATACCAATGCCACATTAGGTTACCAAGGTGGTTTTGTTCTGGGTTAGAATCAGAAACTGGAACAAAGTGTTCCAGTTCTTTTGTGTTTTGTGAGTGAAGACATCCACCTGATCTACAACATCAAAAACGATAATCTCACCATAAACCCTCTCAAAATACCAATCCTGTTATCGATTCAGTGGATAAGACCAGTCCCACACTTAGTTCTGGGTATGGGAAATGCTACAGTTGTCAACCACACACATGGGAGAGGGATCCACAATTTTTTTTGTCATCATGGGCCCCCCTCCCATGTGTGTGGGTTCGTGGGTCTCCCATGTATGTGGTTGTCAATCGCAGTTGTCAACCCCAATTGTACAACTAGCAAAATTCTTTGGGTGTAAAAGAAGAGGAGATTTTTTTACTTTTGCCAGTGACCAAGTCTACTTGTCAATTAATTTCTTCAAAACAATTCAGTGGGAATGAAAATCTGAAAAAGATATAGAGAGACACCAGCTATAGATACCTGGATCGATTAGAGGAGGAAGAGATGAACTTGAGGTCGAGCAGCCATTTCTTTATTGTGGAAAACGTGACTGAATGGTAAGTTGTTTATTCTTAGATCTATTGATTAAGGTTTCAAATTAATTTTTGGGTGATGGAGTAATTGATATGGTGGAGAGATTTCAATTTTCAGTGGATATTTACAGGGGATGATTATGATAAAAATCATATTCTAGCAGGATTTTGATGAAGAATATGGTTGAGGACAGTGTTATATGGAGAGAGGGTGGTAGATCTAGTTAAAAATTCATTGTAACACAGAAACAGATTAACCAATGATGCAGATTTTGAAAACAAATAAGAAACGATAGGTTTCTAAACAGTCCCTAATGGATGTGGTACTAGCATTTAATGTAGGATTTATATCTGTTCATGTGGTTATTATCAACATGGTAGGGTGACCTGCCTCATAAGGTCAATTTTTTTTTTTTTTTTTAACTTTGTACAATATATTAAATAATAATGGGAATTAGACTTGTAGATAGCTTGGAGTGTACCATTGGATCACGTGTCTTGTTTTCATGTAAATAAGTGGTAGTCATACTGGTTTGATCCTTTATCTTTTAATGGTTACTTGTGCAATTTGTTTCTTTGTGCTTATGACATCTTGTGTCTATAGTAAGCCTTTGCTTGATGTTTTTCTGAGTTCCTCTTGGAAAACCAGACTTCTACAGATATCAGAGATTGTAGAAAACGTTGGATTGTTTTGGCGGTGGATAGCAATATGATGATATTTATGTGAAAACTATAGTAATTTGGAATTTTCCTCATTTTTATGTATTAGCCTAATTATGATGGCATTGGTGATTTGAATGTTCTCATACATGATAAGAAGTTATCATAGATTCTGATGCACTGTGTTTTGTGTTATTTGAGATGGTGTCTGTTCATAGACTAAGAACAGGACCATTTGTGAGAGTAGTTTCAATTGTTTTCATCCACCCAACAAATCTGAGCTAGCACCCTGTTCTCTTTCCCTCTTGATTGAGAAAAATTTCTTATTGTGAAGGTTGTTGAAAAGTTGATCGGTTGAGTAAGGAGGAGATTTTCAATTTAATGAGGAAAATTTGCAGTCTGATCCTGCCTGGAAGTATTTAATGGCACATAAAGCAATCCAGCAGGGTGAGAAGGTTGTTCGATGACGTTAATTTTCATATTTGTTGAAACAGACTTAGCTGCTTGGAGTCTGATTGAAGTAACGATTCTGAGGCACAAGGTTGTGGACAAAATTCTCTAGTAGTAAATTTTATTAATGTGTGTGTCTGATCTTGCTGTCTTGGAAAAGGAAATAAAAAGTGAAAAAGATTGTTTGGACATTCTTTTGATTATGTCAAGCTCAAAATCAAGGATGACTTTCCTCAACCCAATGTTGCGTGGGAAAGAGTTAGCCATCACAAATTACTGTATATTGAAATATCTCTAACTCGCTATAGAAATTTGACCAATTAGGTTCATTACTATCCTCATATTTTGTATATATTTTCGTTATGATGGATTGCTAAATAGATTGCATGGATAGCTCAGTCCTAAAATTTTCTTTTCCTGCTCATGTAATCCGTAATGGGTATTAATTACAATGATGAATACAACTTCTAGCTTTTTAAGCTCTTTAAAATTACCTTTTCTTGGATGGTTATCCCCATAGTTCTTTTGACGTGATAAGAGTAAGCAACATCCTCTCATTTTTGCGTCTGCGTGGATAAGATTTTTTTCCAAAAATTGGAATCAGGTCCTTGCAATTTGAATGCATGAAGCTAACTAAAAACTGGACAGATTATTTCCATTTAAATTTCTGAGATGCCAATTCCATTATGCAAAACATAAAGCAAGTTTTTGAAAAAGTCTTAATATTATATTCTCTTTGACGTGATTATTGCATGAGCTTGGGGAGGGAACTTGACATTAGATCAGTATGCAAGGAAGGCTATGGATCCATTTGCTTGAAATGGCTGTGAAGGGCAATCATATGGGAAAGTGAGAAGAGCTAAAAGTTTTAGAGGCAATGCTTACCCACTTGATAGTTATGAACCCATAGATAAGAAGGCCTTTCTTGTAGACTGTTCTTCCTTCGACATAGATGGCCTTTCTATTGGACTGAGCCAAATTACTTACAGGATTCATCAGTAGGACATCTCTAACATACACGATGCCTTGAAACTTAACTTTGTTACGATTAATATAGTTTACTGTGTTTTGGTCATGTGGTAAATTATTTTATATCTTGCTCGTCTTTGTTGACTTTTCTTAGTCTCCTGTTTTCTTGTAGACAGCTTCATCCCAAAGTACCCTTTTTGATCATTTGATCAAGGTCTGGGAATTTAATCTGGGACCTGTTCCAGGAACCTGCAATCTTTATTTCTTGGTGGACTTTAAAGTTCCAGTCACCATTATATGGACAGGTGAGCATCAAAAATCTGAAAATTCTAGGCTGATTTTCAGATTTCGGGGAGCTGAATTTGTGGGCTTATTCTAGCCGAATCCTTTGGAGTTATGGAGAGATTTTGGGTGGTAATTGAAGAGAACATTGTGGGCTTTCCAACGTTATCCAAATCCGGCAGTCTTGGTGGTTGAAAGTTGCTGAAAAATTGTCGCAAATGTCGCCCAAAAATCTGAAAAATTTGGGTGACCATTTCTGCAAATTTGTAAACTTCAGTGACCATTTCTGAAAGTGCTCCAAACTTCGGTGATCGTTTCTACAAGTTTTAAACTTCAATGATCGTTTTATATTTTTCAGATAAGTTTAGTGACCGTTTGTGAAATTAACCTAATATAAATATCGTATATTTTGATGGCCTAGTGGTTTCCAAGCATATTAGATGGTTGTACATAGGTCTTTTCTTCATGCTGTAGGCTAATACAAGTTCTGTTGACCTCAGAAAATGCGTTAACAGAATCCCGACCACCTCCCCTTCACGTAGGCATCACCTGCACATTGGAATATCCATTAGGAGACAAAGACCGTCGATTGAGAAAAAGGTTCGACGATCGTTTGCACTCCGATGTTCAAGTCAACGGTCGGACAAAAGATAATGTGTGTGTAAGAGAGAGAGAGAGAGAGCGGGAATTTGGGTAGGATTAGGTTTACATATCATTGACTGTGAATGAACTCACATATATATAGGAAAATAAAATTGACCACGATGGGCTGTTGAAGCAAATCAAAATATAAAAGCCCAATAAGAGGTTGCATGAGGTTACTTAAATTAATAGGCCAAATTTAATTAAATAATGGACGTCAAGTCAGCCAATGTGGGACCCCTTCTGTCTGAGTATGCCACATATTTTATAGGTATAACATGTTCTATTGCTTTAATTATATGGTATGTTGTTATGTCGTATTTTATTCTTAATTGATTGTTATCCTAGCATATGATATTTTTTCATTTATGGTTAGCCCCTCTCATGTTTACTTCTTTTTTTAAATAGAGATCAAGGAATAATTGGACTTCTAATTTTGTCCATGATTTGCTGGCCACCCCAAGTTTAGAAAACCAGGCTTCTCTTCTTGTATTTGCTTTA